CTACTGATTTTTTATTAGTCCTTTAGGGTTATAGAATTTGGATTACAAGACTGAAGCCACTTAGGGGGGTTGCAGACTGCCAGAAATAGTGCAAATTGAGTCCACTTTTAGGGTTAGGGTTAGTGCTAGGGAATCATGGGAATTGTTTTTTTTCTGAGACATTAAGCCTTCTCTGTCAGAGAGGTCTGGTGCCACAATAAAATACAGTTCCCATGATTCCTTAGCCCTAACCCTAACCCTAAAAGTGGACTGAATTTGCACTATTTCTGGCAGTCTGCAACCCCCCTTACTCAAAAGTAGTTCCAGTCAAATGCATTAATTTATGTGGCTTTTGAGATTATCATTCTCATTGACTGATCTTCCTCCACTTATACCTCGTTTCTAAAAATAATGAAGGATTATTACAGAAATAAGACATTTTTATACCTACAAATCTGGACTTCAGAAGATTGTGGAAACACTTAAAATGTATGTAAATAAAATATTTTTAAAGAAAAATATCCCAATAATATAATAACTCATCTACTTTACAAAATACTTTTTTGTTTCAAAGATGCATTTAGCCACACATCTTGAATCACTGCTATTATTTTAAATTAATATAAGATTATTTGTAAACTTTACAAAAACAGGTAAATATTTACTGAGATGTATTTCTTGTGAACATATTAAGATCTGTTTAATTGTGGTCATCCAGCAAAAAGGAGACAGAATTGCTGCAAACTTAATTTAGTAAAATGTAAGACAGACATGAATTGAAAAATTAAAATGTCTTACAAATTTGATTTTGAAATGTGTTCCCACAGAACCATGAAACTCACTGAGTGAACCTGAGCCACTGCCTTTAACATGATCTACCTCATAGGTTTGTTGAGAAGATAAAGAAGAAGAAGATGGCCATGCCTGCCACTTGAGTTTATTGGAGGAAATAAGAGGAATTCTTGTAAACAATAAATGAAGATTTTTCACCAAAGAAACAACCTTCACCCATAAAGCACCTTAAGAGGGATATCTGGGCTGCAATAATTGCAAATATAGTCTATTCTATCCAAATAGGGATTGAAAATAACAATTAACTATGTTACTGGAATATCTCAGTTAAGTAATCATAGATGCATGGGTATCTATTAATTTCACTATCAGTTTTTAAAAAATAAATGTTAATCACTATAGCAGTGGTTCCCAAACTTTAGTCCTTCAGATGTTTTGGACTTCAGTTCCCAGAACTCCTCACAGCTGGCCAAGCTGTTTGAGGCATCTGGGAGTTGAAGTCCCAAACCCCTGGAAGACCAAAGTCTAGGAATCATTGCACTATGGAAATAAGCATTTTACTTCATAAAATCTTAGGGCTTGTCTACATGGGTTATTTACTCTGAATTCCCTCTGGGCTTGCTGCATTCTATTTATTACATGACACAGGGCCAAACCCCCAGATTAGGCATGGATTGTCTTCATGATGTCTACACCCAATTTGGCCTTTCCGTCCCTTAATCCAAATTTAAAAACCTGACCTTTTGCAGTGGATTTCAGTTCTCTCTGCAGCAATAACGGGTGGCTGTTTTCTCATGTGGTCCCTTCAATATGCCTGGTGCCACCACTGTGGGTGCAAGTCACTCTGAGATCAGAATGAAGTGCCCAGCATCGATAACATACCTGGGCACCTTGTTGTGACCTCTGCAGCAGCACCGGACAATGAATGGGGATTATATGGGAGGGCAGCTTCCCATCATCGCTGCAGAGAGATAATGAGGAGAATTCAGGACCAGAATACTCCAGGGGCAGCCCAGAATATTCTGGTCAGTAAAGAAGCTAGAAGGGACTACATTGGCCACAGCCATGCAAGAATATACAACTAAAGCAGTCCTGAAAGATGCCTTTCCAAACATTGTTGAAAGATGGAATCCACCACCCTCTAATGCAGTCCATTCTACTGTCAAACAGCTTTTACAGTTTTAAAAAGTTCTTCCTAATGGGAAGGAGGAATCTCTCATCTTGGAATTTGAAACCAATGGTTCATGTTCTAGTCTCTGAAGCAGCAGAAAACAAACTTGGTCCATCTTCTATGTGACATCCCTTTAGATATTTAAAAATAGCTATCACTTCACCTCTCAGACTTCCAATGATTAGAATACTTTCAACTAGTGAATTCCAAGGTGAAAAGATTTTAAATCCACAAGTTGTAAAGGCATGTTAGAAGTGGGTCAACTTCATTGTTAAAATCATCCTCTCTCAATGTAAATGCAGTGGGTTAGAATCCTTCAGCATATTAATAATTAACTTTAATGCGTTCCCACTTTCTTGCTAACTTTTCCCATTTTGATTACTGGAATGCCATGGTGGTAGTGCCCTTACCTTTCAGGATGTGCTTCACCAGGTCCAGGCCCATTTTTACAGCTGGTTTAATATTTTCTGAGATCACTGGAAAATCAGAGTCACTCAATATCATTACATTGATCACATAGTCGTTATTGAGACATTTTCCCTCACCGCCATGCCACAGAAGCTGGGTCAAGAGAAACAAGGCCCCCAAAACCCGATCCAACTTTTGTTGCCTCATTATGCCTCGTGTTTGCTCCTTGCATGTCCTACATGGCCAAAGACTTAGGCAGAGAGGCAAGGGTGTTTGTCATATGCCCAGTGCTCAGTCAATTCTTTCTTCTCTCAAATTGGCCCTTCTGTTCCCTTCTTTGGCACTCTTTCCACCCCCACACCCATCTGCCCCAGCTGGTACTTCTGCCTATGAACAATTAGCAGCAGAACTCGTGAAATGGGAAAGGGCCAAAGGTTGCTTTCATATTTACTGTTGAGAACGTTGGGGCTATAAAACCCAGGCATTAGCCACACCTTGCTAGATAAGGATATACAATGTGATGAGCAGGGGAGAAAAAGGAGGAGGCAATCACACTACACAGTAGAAGGAAATAAGTTAAAAAAGAGATAAACCAAAAAGCTCATTAATGCAGAAGAGAAACACAGATGGCAGCTTGTTTATCTTTCCAGATAATTCCTAATGGGTGTAGAATGTAAACAAGAAGGAAGTTCCCATGTATACTATATAAAGACTATGATGTACTGTATGTTTTTGTTTTCATTTCTTTGTGTTTTCTTATTGCTCATAGCAAAATATATTTGGTTATTACATTCTCTCCTTTCGCCTTCCCTTTTTGTCAGATTGGACTTTCAAAAAGCCAATCAGTACAAAAAAGTTCATATCTGACCCTCTGGTCAATGGGCCTAAATTTAGATAAAGTAACGCTACAGGTCATCAGATAATAATAATAATAATAATAATAATAATAATAATAATAATAATAATAATAAAAATTTATTTGTACCCCGCACCTCTTTCAACCAATCGGGGCGCCTTACTACAATTAAAATTCATACAATATAATTTATCCTAAAAATACAATCTAAGATCCCTAGAACCCACCCACCCCTAAAAAAGTATTAAATCATGTATCCATTAAAACTGGTGGAGAGAAAACAAACAAACAAACAAAAAAGAGTACAAAATCAAAATCAAGCAGGGCAGTGACGAGAGCCAAAAAGGAGAAATAACTAAGGGGGGAAGCAGACGAGGGCGTCCAGGACGCCCTGCGCCGGCATGCCGCGGGGCCACAGCCTCCGCATCTCAGCGCACCAGCGGTGTCCCTGGAAGGAGCACTAAATCAGCACTCCTTCCTCAAGACAGCAAAAGTGCGCCCTAAAAGCGGCGGGCGCACTTTCGCTGTCTTATCCTCCGCAGCGCGTCCGGTCGCTGCGGAGGGAGGTTGCCCCGGAAGCGCCGGACGTGCGGAGGGCCGGCAGCTTCCGGGGTGACCTCAGGAAGAGGAAGGGGCGCCGAACGTGCGGCTGCCCCTCCTCTTCCAGGCCCGGAAGACGACCCAATTAGTCGTTTGCTGAGGCCCTAAAACAACTTCTGAGGCCAGGAAAATCTAGTCAGGAAAGGCCTGCCGGAAGAGATCCATCTTCACAGCCTTTTTAAAGCTGCTTAAGGTTGTTGTCTGACAGATCTCGTCCGGCAGGCCGTTCCATAGTCTGGGAGCGGTTACTGAAAAGGCCCTCTGGGAGGTTGCAGATGGCCTTGTTTTCATTGGCTGCAACAAATTCCTCCTAGAGGACCGGAGTGTGCGGGGAGGGTTATATGGGAGGAGGTGGTCCCGGAGATAGGTTGGACCCAAGCCATTTAGGGCTTTAATGGTGACAACCAACACCTTATACTGGGCCCAGAAACTGATGGGCAGCCAGTGAAGAGACTTCAGTATCGGTGTTATGTGGTCTCTTCTAGATGTCCCCGAGACCACTCTGGCTACCATATTCTGGACCAACTGAAGTTTCCAGACCAAGCACAAGGGTAACCCTATGTAGAGCACATTACAAAAATCCAGACGAGAGGTTACCAGCACATGCACAACAATCTCAAGGTCCTTTACTTCCAGGAAAGGGTGCAGCTGGCTATTAGTTAAAGCTAGTTCTCAATTTATTTTTGCTATCTGCATTGAAGGGATGAATATTTTTTATTAACATCAGTTGAATTTATATGTCTAGTGATAGCGATGCTTGTCAAAACAAACTGACAGAAACGCTACTGACAGCCAGTCAGAGATACTGTGTTATACTAAATAACATGATCTAAGGAGATTATCCCACCATTCTAATAACCCAGCTTACCTCTTCTGAATTGAAGTCTAATTCGGAACACAGCCAGGTCCTGTCACAAGGATTTTGCTGCCGAAGCCACCAGGTGAGTTTAGCCCGGCTGCAGCCCGAGTCCCAACCATGCTTCAGCGGCCACTTTTTCAAGTTGGAAAGCTCCTGGTTTCGAAATAAGGCTGCTGAAGCATGCTGGGGACCCAGGCTGCAGCTGGGCTGGACTTGCCCAGTGGCTTCGGCAGCAAAATCTTTGTGATAGGATCCAACTGCCTTCCAAATTAGACTTCAATTCGGAAGAAGTGAGCTAGGTTATTAGAGCAGTGGGATAATCTCTTAAATGAGGTTACAGTGTGGTTTAATGGTTTGAGAACTGGACTAGCACTCCAGGAGACCAGAGTTTGAATCCCTGCTCAGCCATGAAAATGGACTAGGTGTGGGCAAGTCATAGGATATTATCACACATGAAAGAGGATGGGAGCAAAGCAGGTTGCTCTCATCATGCGATTGCATAAAGATTATGAGATGAATTCATTGAAGTTTCTGTCAATGAAAAGTGGTGGGACAATTCCACTTCATTGATGGGATAATGATGGGATGAGTGTGATGTGTGTGATATTTTTTGTGCAATTGCATTATAAGGACAAGATAAAGATGGGAGCTATCCGCTTCACTCCCATCCTTTTTTCATTTGTGATAATCTCCATAATCTCTCAGATTAAGAAGAAGGTACTGGCAAATTAATCTAAATGAATCTTGCCAACCCTGTGTCCCCATGATAGCATTGCCATAAGTCAGATTTGACTTGAAAGCACAAAACAGCAACAAAAACCTTGTGTGCTTCAGGATTTTGTGCAATGCAGGGAGTCTGTGTATATGGGTAACTCTTTGGAGCTCCCAGAAGCATCACCCACTGACCATGCTGACAGAGAGATTCTGAGTGCTGAAAACCCTAAAAGTATTTTTTTTCCAAATTGTAGTACAACTTTATAGGAAATGTTGGGAAGTACTGCTGACATCTAGTACTGGCTCATTGTCAGTTTTGAAAATCCTAGCTTTTCTTCTGCTTCTATTAAATGTGACCACTTAGCTTGGCATTTGAGAACTATTCTGAATAAACTTTCTTTCTTCTCTTTATTTATCTATTTTTAGAAATGTGCTTGTGAACATTTAGAGCTTATAGAAAAGGAACAATAAAAGAATTTCACACTGGCACTTTTAAGGAAGAATAGAAAGGGGAATTATGCCAGATCCCCTATAGTTACATACGGTACTAACTGTTGTTAATTTACTGAACTGGAAGGAGCAAATTAAGTTGAAAGAAAGAAGAGGATTAGCAAATGAACACTAAGATGTGCAGACAAGACACTGTGCAGTTTTACTCTTTAACCAGAATTATAATTTTACCATTTCCCCTGGGTGCAGAAGCTCAAATATCAAATGGTCCCACATGGCACAATATTCCCCACTTTAGAAAAATTAATGATTAAAAATTGTAAGAAAAGAGGAAGTGACACTCCCAAGCAACCTGTTACAGCACACAGTTTGTTCAACCTTTTGTCTATTGATTTATGTTTCTCCAAAAAAAGAGAATTAGACAGACTGTACCAGAAAAATGAAAGAGCAATCAATTGGCATGTACTCAAAAATCTCCATACAGGCATGTACTCTAGTCTAGATTTTATTTATAGACGAATTAATAAGTACTTGTAGCATGACAATACTCAGTTCTTTAATCCTAGATCTGGCATCAATTAGTAGGATTACACTCTTGGCCTGGCTTCTTTTTGTTGTTGTTAACAACTGCCAAGTTGGGTGCAACATATGGTCACTGTATGAATGAGAGACCCCCAAGATAACACCCTTGCTAAGTTCCTGCGAACTCAGCTCTGTGGCTTCCTTGAGTCTATCCCCCTGTAATGTGGATTCCTTCTTTCCCTACTGAACCCTACTTTACCAAGCATTATAGTCTTTACACATAAACACCTACTTCTAGCTGCCAGTTGGGAGGAAAACAGAGATATACTTTTGTACAACTTGCTTTATTCACTTCCCACCGAGATAGTATATCTCTGCTTTTTTGAAATGGCAGCTAGAAATTGGTGTCTGCATGTAAATTATGACTAAATTTTGTTCTGTACAAAAAAACTTATACTTTTAAAAAATACCAACCTACATGTCACAAGGCATTTTGAAATAATTTGTTACTGGAATGTCCATTCTCCCATTCAAAGGGTTTGTGAGAGGTAACTTTTTGGCTTCAACTGCCATGGCTCCATTCTATTGAATCCTGGAATCTGTAGTTTGCTGTGGTGTTACTACACCCTGCATACCTCACATTATTTGGGGTACAAACATTATGCTATATTTTGTTATAATAGCAGTTGCAGAGGGGCCAAAAATCATGAGCCTGGAAAGGTAATGACAACCTTTAAGTGAACTTCTGATAGTTTGGTCACATCGACCTGAGGGCATGTGTAAAGGACCAATGTGTTGTGAATATAGCTGCTTCCCAACCCCCTGCCATGTGCATTTTCTCTTGAAGGTCACAGATAAAATAAATCTGCTAGCCAATCTTTCTGCAAGTCCCCATGGTATTTTCCCATACCACATCCTATTCCAAACTCTCTGGAGTTATCCTGACTTTATCACTGCTTGATTAAATCAATGTCACTGCCATCAACCAAAAATATTCCTTTTGTTAAAACTATCAACCAAATGGGAATCCCATTGTTTCTGGGATTCCTGGAAAATCAACTCAAACTGCCTCAAGTCAGGTTTGTTCCATAAATACCTCTGATTGGGCACTCCTACTTTGGTCCAATTTGTAATCAGACAGAAACTCTGTCAGATTCAAACTTGGCCTCTCACTATTGCTATCTGTGCCACATAGCAAGCAGACTGAGTTCCAGCTTTCTCCAGGTTGGAATCTAGCTTCTGGAACTTGTAAGTATTGCCCATTGCAATCTTTAATTTTCTATCCATTACCATTTTTAAAAAATATCTTAGTTGGGTATGTGTGTGCATGCATGCTCCGTATGAATGTTGACATCCCCCTAGTTGTTCAGATCCCTTGGCCCTCCCGCTGCTACATTATTGAGCAAAATTACTTTCCTCATTGAATACAATTTGTGGGTGCCCTCTTGAAACCCCTTGCAATTTAGGTAACACTGGCACCAGAGCTCACTGACAGAGAAGGCTAAATATCTCATAAAACTACAAATCCCAGAATTCCATTGCAGTGAGCCATGGCAATTAAAGCAGTGTCAGACTATATTAATTCTGCAGTTTAGATGCAGCTCCTGACACCCAGACAGTATCAAAAGTTATTTTTAAAAAGTGAATACTGAGTTGCAAAAACGTTTGCACACATTATTACTTTCCTAGCATTTTTATTAGCCTAGACTATCAGAAAATACCAAATATAAAAGACAAAAAATCCCTAAAATCCTTATCAAACCTTTGAAAACATTGAGGGGTAGCTATGTTGGCCAAATTCAAACAAAAATCTATCAGTGATAACTTTACTGGCCAACAAAAATGCATAATATACATGTTGCGAGCTTTCGAAGCTCCATGGGCTTCTACATCAGACAAGATGTTACAAACCAAATAGGAGAAAAATAATTGAAGATGTTAGTCAGATGCCTACATGTTGTTTCATTATTTAGTTAAGATGGTATATAATGAGGAGGATATCTTTTGCAGGCAGGCTCCTCCTCCGTTTGGCCAAAGTCGGTTATAGAACACAACTAGTCAAGAGATTGCAGAGCATTTGGGGATTAGTTTTATTTTTACTTTCAGGAATTTTTAAAAGGCATTAAAACAAGGGTGAGAATATATGCAGCTATCCATATAGTGTTAGGCTACAGCTTTTAGCAGCCCTAGCTAGAACAGCCAGCATCAAGGAATTCTAGGCATTGTAATTCAGCAACATATGGACAAATTGCAAAATCAAGGCTTTCATTTTGGAATCTTTTTTAAAAATATTTTCAAGCCATGGATGATTGAATCCATAGATTCGGAGGGCCAACTGTATTTGTTCTTCTTTTTAAAAATTTCATGATACTACTACCACAACAACAACTACTCCTACTAGTAATATTTATTTCTTACCTGCCTCTCCCCACAGATCAAGGTGGGTAACCTGAACAAGATGCTCTTGAAAGCCATGTCCTTCTAGGAGACCCTACAGAACCTCAAAGTGCCCATGGATTGCCTTCAGCCCCATGGTTTTCTAATAAATGCCAAGAAGAGCCTGCTAGTTCCATCACAATCCATCTGGGGCTTGGATAGATACAACAAAGGGCATGATTTACATCTCAGAAGAGAGGCACAGAAACCTCAAGGCAGAGGCACAAACCATATGGTCCCTTCCCACAGTTTCTTTTATGACTTTGGCCAGATTCATAGGTCTCATGATCTCAGTCATCCAAATTGTGCCTTGAGCCAGGTTCCATTCCACATCGCTCCAAGTGAGAGTTAAAAAGAGACTAAACAATGAAAAAAATAAGACTAGATTAAAACGTACACCATGAAAGCAAAGCAGTTTCATTTATATACCACTTCATATCGCGCTATGGGATGTCTAAGCGGTTTACAACCGTAAGCTCATTGCCCCCCAACAGCTGGGTACTCATTTTAGTGACCTCGGAAGAATGCAGGCCTGAGTCTAGCCTGAGCCTTGGCTAGTATTGAACTCGCAACCTTGTGGTCTATGAGTGAGTGGCTGCAGTACAGGCATTTAACCACTGTGCCACCAGGGCTCTTGCACATGCACATGCACACACACACACACACACAAACCAGCACAATAATTAGCAAGATCAAGCCCATTGTTTAGGGAACTCTGCAATGGTGGCTATCCATGAGCAGACTTCAAAGAGGGCATCAGTATATTTCAGGTAGAGGACAGGCTTTTGAGAGCAAGTTTAGAGAAAAGAATTCTAAGTCAGACATGAAGATGTTGGTATACTATGAATCACACAATTCCCTGTGACAGTGGCACAGAGCTAAATATATGTTTTTTCCAAAGCTGAAGTATTTTGCATAGGTAGCAGTGGCAGGGTTTAGTGGCTTATATTCCTGATGGTTTATAGTCTTTGGAGGGAAGTTGATATAAAGGGCCTTGACACCTGTGGCAGCTAGGATGGAGTTTTCTGGAAGAGTGTCTATGCATTGACATTTCCTTGAACAATCAGTTGTATCCCTTGTATAACCTGGAGGATCGGTTATGAGTCAATTTAACCAAATATCTCAATCGTGATGGTACCAGCATCCCACAGGATCACCTGATTTATTTTTGGAGTAACAGATTAAAGGTGCCTGGTTGAGGTTCCTAAACTGTGTCTGTAAAATTGGTCCTGCATGTCTGTGGGAAATTATTTTATCATGTTGTATAGCTCCTTACAATGTCTCAG